CAGGTCCCATCTGATGCCGAGGCTGAAGGAGTCTCGCTCCCACGAGTCCCTGCTCAGTCCCAGCAGTGCGGTGGAGGCACTGGACCTCAGCATGGAGGAGGAAGTGGTCATCAAGCCTGTGCACAGCAGCATCTTGGGCCAGGACTACTGCTTCGAGGTGGGTTTCACCATGGGCGTGGGGTGGGACTTCCCATCCTCTCCTGACTGACTGGTCTCTGACACCCTCTGGAGTCCTCTGTGGCCTCAGCTGGGGCCAGGCTCTTAGGGTGACTGGAATCTGCTTGTAGCTTTCTGCTTCTGAGAGACCAAGTGGGGCTGGGATGGGGGCATCTTTCCTGCTCTCCAGAAATGGGTTCACCATGCTAGTGGGAAGCTGCCAGGGTCCCAGTTGGTGGAAGTGAGGGAAAGAAAACTTTTGTCAGATTGCTAAAGCCCCAGAGCCCAAGTCTTGGAGACTGTTCACCCCCAAATTCAAGGTGGGATAACGGAGAGTCCCCCCTTTCTGGGCCTGTTTCCCTGTCTGCACAACCAGAGCTCCAGCCCTTCCAGCCCTGGCATTCTGTGAGTCAAGGATTAAGAACAGAGGACTAGTGACTCACCTAGGTAGGATTGTCACCTGGGGATGACCTGTCCAGTCCTTCATAGTAGATGGGGGATCTGAGGCCCAGAAAAAGTAAGACAGAATCAGAGGTCACACAGCAAGGCTGAGACCAAGCCAGCACCAAGGTTACTCTTGTTGCAGATGTTCCTGGGAGTTCCTAACTGCTTCTGCTATTGTTCACATTGTCTTCCTACCTGTTTCTGAGAGAATTCTCACCCCCAGCAGTCAGGCATAATTAGGGGAGCACTCTGGTGGAAGAATGAACCTGGAAATGAAAAGCAGCCATTTGGGGACTAATGGGACAACCTCATGGCATCCCCAGCCATGGGGAAAGAACAGAATGGTGCCTGGCACCTGCCCCACACTCTGTTGCCACTGGGCACTGTTTCTGGTTCAAGATCTCTGGCCAAGCCAGTCTTCATATGGGCTCTGATGTCCTTTCCTAGGACAGGGCTGAAGATAGTGCCTGCCTGTGGCTTGTTCACAGCAGAGGGTGCGGTGGAATGTGCAGGCCTCCAGCACCTGGGTAGAGCCTGTGCTGCATGTGGTGAGCCCTGGGCCTGTTGCTGGGCAGTGGGCGCATAGCGCAGGAGCAGCCCAGCCAGGCTTCCTTGCTGGAGGAGATGTCTGAGCTGGACCTGAGGATGAACAAGAGTCAGTCAGGGAGAGGGAGGGAAGGTCAAGGTTCCCGGCAGGAGGATCCCAGGGCCGGGGTGCATACATGCAGCCTGATTCTCATTTCTCCAGCCTGGCACCAAAAATATTAGGCTTGTATTACTAGCACTGAGGCCACTGTTGGTTGAAAAAGAAGGTGTCAGCTGAGGACTGAGGGGGTTCTGCTACCTACTTTCAGGTATCTCCTTGGTACTTGCAGTCCCACCCTTAGGCAATCTGTACTTGGGATAAGCATCATACCTGGCCTGGGGTGGGAGCCCCATTCCTTCCTCCTCCCATCTCGGGGGGAGGGAGATTAGAGTTGGAAGATGTTTTCCTATTGGACAGAAGGGTGCTGGGGCATGTGTGAGGAGCCAGGGCCAGGAGCCAGCTGACATAGAACCAGGCCACTCTCCTGCTGCTGACTTGCTCTGGGACAGAGGGTCTCAGTGTACCACCAGTAAAACCTGAAATCTGGGGACCATGTGAGCCTTGTCCTGCCTCCTTCCTGAGACTGTGGGGCAGACCCGGCAGTCAGAGTCCCCTGAACCTCAGACTTCTTCGTCATGTCCCAACCTTGCTGCTGTCCCTTCTCCTCTAACACTGTCCTGCATGCCCCCACAGGTGACGACGTCATCAGGAAGCAAGTGCTTTTCCTGTCGCTCAGCAGCCGAGAGGGATAAGTGGATGGAGAATTTGCGGCGAGCAGTGCACCCCAACAAGGTAGGCCTGTGCCCCCCTCTGAAAAAGAAAGCATGGGAGATTGAGGTTAGACTCAGGCATGAGGAGGCGAAAGAAGGTTGGGATGGAGGGTCAGCCTACATGAGGCAGTGTCTGAGTAGATAGCATTGTGGGACTCTGAAAGAGGAGTTAGAGTTGGCCAGGGTGAGACAGGTGTTGTGAGCTTCTGTTCCCAAAGCTATGCATTAAGGAGGCTGGATGAGGGACATGAGTGCTGGGCCCTGGTTCCTTCTGCTAGGACATCTTGTCCCTACTACTCCCCAGCTGACTCCTGCTCATCTGTCCCATTCCAGCTTAGATGTTCCTCCATTCCTCCAGATGAGGCCTTCTGGTCCACGGCCCCTGGGCTCCCCCATCAGGTCATGGGACCCTGACTGTAATCCCTGCTTCTGAGTCTGTCTCCCTAGCCGACTTTAGGTTCTGGGCCAAGTTCCAGTCACCATGGTCTCCTGTTAAGTGACTTTATAGACCAGCAAACTAAGGAAGAGGGACTGGCACCATAAACCTGCAGTGTGTCAGGCATTGTGCTGACCTCTTGACTCAGTCTGTCCCTTCACGAGACAGGGGTTATTTTAGTCTGGTTTTATAGAAAAGCAAGCTGAGCTAGGTGCGGTGGCTTATGCTTGTAATCCCAGTACTTTGGAGGCTGAGGCAGCAAGACTGCTTGATCCCAGGAGTTAGAGACCAGCCTGGACAACATAGTGAGGCCTCATCTCTAGAAAAAATTAAAAATTTAACCAGGCATGGTGGCGCATGCCTGTAGTCCCAGCTACTTGGGAGACTGAAGCAGGAGGATCGCTTGAACCCAGGAGGTTGAGGCTACAGTGAGCTATGATCATGCCACAGCACGCCAGCCTGGGTGACAGAGCAAGATCCTATCTCAAAAACAAAAAAACAAGCTGAGGCTCAGATTTAGTTACTTGTTGAAGGTCAGTGTGCTGGTGCAAAGCTGGTGTCCATCGGACCCCACCCCATTCTGTCTCAAGGCCTGGGTGCCCCCTGCCACTGCCAACTTCGGAGCCCTGCCCAGATCTGAGGACTCTCCTGGGCTCTGGGCTGTGGTGGGGGAGTGGGAGCCCCTGGTGAGCATCCCGGATCCCCTTGCACAGGACAACAGCCGGCGTGTGGAGCATATCCTGAAGCTGTGGGTGATTGAGGCAAAGGACCTGCCAGCCAAGAAGAAGTACCTGTGCGAGCTGTGCCTGGACGATGTGCTCTATGCCCGTACCACAGGCAAGCTCAAGACGGACAATGTCTTCTGGGGCGAGCACTTTGAATTCCACAACTTGCCGCCCTTACGCACGGTCACTGTTCACCTGTACCGGGAGACAGATAAGAAGAAGAAGAAGGAGCGCAACAGCTACCTGGGGTTGGTGAGCCTGCCAGCCGCCTCAGTGGCCGGGCGGCAGTTCGTGGAGAAGTGGTACCCGGTGGTGACACCTAATCCCAAGGGCGGTAAGGGCCCCGGACCCATGATCCGCATCAAGGCACGCTACCAGACCATTACCATCTTGCCCATGGAGATGTATAAGGAGTTTGCTGAGCATATCACCAACCACTACCTGGGGCTGTGTGCAGCCCTTGAGCCCATCCTCAGCGCCAAGACCAAGGAGGAGATGGCATCTGCCCTGGTGCACATCCTGCAGAGCACGGGCAAGGTGAAGGTGCGTGGGGGCCCCTCAGCTCCAGTAAAGGTCTTGTGACATGGAGAAGGGTACTGAGTTACCTGCCCTTCCCCGTGTCCACATGACACCTTTCAGGTCTAATGGAGGCCTTGGAGGCACGGGTCCCAGCCCGTTGACTCCCTAAACCTGAGTTACATCGTGGGTAGAGCTCCGGCTTTGTACTTCCCTTCTGTGGCTGGGGCTGACCCTAATGCCTGTGTGGAGCCAGTGGATGGCATCCTGGCATCCCAGAGGGAGTGGGCTTACCTTGAGGTGCCTCCTCCCACTGCTTCAGAGGCCTGGCCCCTGAGACTGGGGGAGCAGGCCATGTGGCTGGGCTCTCCTGGCATGTAGGGTTCCCACAACCCCCACTGGCCCCAGTGACCTAAACACCGGTCCCAGTGGGGTGTGAATTTTGGCAGACCTCCCCAGCAGGTGACACATAAGTGAGCCATTGTCACAGCTCCACCTCACCCCACACTCTCATACCTAGAGATACATGGATTCACACACACACGGGTGGACACAGTCACAGTGCACCATTCACTGGTCATCCAGCCACACCCCAGAGTCCCACAGAAATGGGAATCATCTGAAAGCCATCTGGACAGGCCCTACTTCAGTATTGGAGGGCCCCACCTCTCTACCCTTCCATCCCTATCTATCCTCTGCTCCTGAAAATGGGCCCAGCAGCCCACCAGGTGAGCTATACTTCAACCCTCACCCACCTGGTTTGGTGACAAGTGGGCTCCTGGGCTAGGTGCCTCTAGGAAGGCAATAGAGCATGGTCCTGTGTGCCTCGAAGATGATCTTCCTTCTTTTTTGTGCTACCTCCCTTAGGGGAGCTTCCCAAAGCTGGTGGGAGAGGAGGATTGAACTTGAGGGCTCTGCCCTCTGGATGGTGGTGTGAGCTGAGTGGTGTGAGCTGAGTGATGGGGTGGTAGGGTGCCCTGTGTCGAGGTCTGGGCCCTCAGCCTGGTGTCAGGGAGGCACAGGTTGGGAGCCAGATGCCGGGCACCCAGGGCCCATGACTCCTTGGAGGCCTGGGAGGGGAGGCTGCAGCTAGAAGTCTTGGGACCTCCACAGCCTGCTGCCCATTGGACTCCTGAGCAGTAAGTGCAAGGCTCAGGGCATCTGTGCTGGGTGCTCTTTTCCTCATATTGTTGAACTCCTCCCCCGCCCCAGCCCTCAGACTCTGCTGGGTGAGGCTGTGCTGGGCTGGCTCTGGCTGCTTCGCTTACTGGTCAACATCAGGGAGGCATGTAGGAAAATTGAGTGAATGGAGGAGCCTGTGGGCCCCAGAGGCAGAACGTGGTAGAGGTTCCAGCCTCTTCTGTGGCTGTGTCTGGTCTTTCAGTGCCTGGACCCCAGGCTGGCGTGGAAGGCAGATTCCCACCTGAAGTGTCCTGAGGCAGGTGTGTCCAGGTGCTCCTAGTGGAGGGAGATGAAGCCAGGGCTCAGCCAGTCCCAGTGGCTGTCGGTGGAACAGGGGTAGCGATCTGTGAAAGGATAGAAAGTGACATGTGCCTGAGGTCCCCTCTCTGGAACACTTTTGCAATAACTTGAATGGAATTGGAGAACATCATCCTAAGTGAACTAACATAGGAACAGAAAACAGGGACCCACTGCGTCTTCCCCCTCCACGACTGGAGGAGTGACAGGGTCTGGGAACCAAGACACTGGGACCACGTCTGGCCCCAGCTGGCTGTGTAGCCCTGACAAGTTCTGTGCCTTGGTTTCACCCTCACTGGTTCCTAGCTCTCAGGAGATCTCCTTGGCCTGGCAGGAGGTCAGGAAGGCTGTGGGCTTGAGCTGGAGCTGCAGGGAGCTTCTGGGGAGATGTGGGTCTTGCCTCTGCTTCACATGCTCAGAGAATAGGCCCTTAAAGGTCATCTGCAGGTCAGGAAGGGGTCCCAGGTGCATGATCCCCAGAAAGGCCAAGACAGCCTCCCCTCAGCTCCTCCTGTCCCTCTGTGCCTCCATTGGCTAACCGGGTTTTCTGGGTCTAGGCCTCAGTTCTGTCTTTTTTTATTTCAGTAGCTTTAGGGGGTACAAATAGTTTGGTTATATGGTTGCACTGTTTAGTGGCTAAGAAGTCTGGGCTTTAAGTCTGGGCTTTTTTGTACCCAGTAGGTGATATTTTTGTACCTCCACCCCTTCCCTTGTCCCTTTCTGAGTCTCCAATGTCTATTATACCATTTTCTATATCTTTGTAGATCCTGGGTTTAGTTTCCACTTATAAGTGTTTGGTGTTCTGTTCTTCTGTTAGTTCACATAGGATGATATTCTCCAGTTCCATCAAAATTACTGCAAAAGACATTATTCCATTCTTTTTGACAGCTGAATGGTATTCCAAAGTGTATAGATAGCACATTTTCTTATTCACTGATCAGTTTGGACATTTAGGTTGATCCTACATCTTTACAATTCTGAATTGTACTATAATGAACATGCGAGTGCAAGTGTCTTTTTTTATATAATGATATCTGTTCCTTGTGGTAGATACCTAGCAGTGGGATTGCTGGATCAAATAATAGATCTACTTTTAGTTCTTTGAGAAATTTCCATACTGGTTTTCATAGAGGCTGTACTAACTTATACTCCCACCAACAGTGCTTAAGTGTTCCCTTTTCATTACATTTACACCAGCATCTATTTTTTAAAAATTTTAAGAATGGCCATTCTGACTGGTGTAAGGTGGTATCTCATTGTGGTTTTAATTTGCATTTCCCTGATGATGAGTGATGTTGAACATTGTTTTATATGTTTGCTAGTCATACCTTCTTTTGAGAGATGTCTGTTCATGTCATTTGCCTACTTTTTAATGGGGTTATTTGCTTTTTCCTTGTTGATTTGTTTGAGTTCTTTGTAGATTCTGGCTATTAGTCCTTTGTCAGATATATATTTGTGAATATCTTCACCCATTCTGTAGGTTGCCTATTTGCTTTGTTATTTATTTAGCTGTACAGAAGCTTTTCAGTTTAATTAAGTCCCACTTAACTCATTTTTTGTTTTTGTTGCATTTGCTTTTGGGAGTTTAACCATAAATTCTTTGCCAATATCCAGAAGAGTTTTTCCTAGGTTTCCTTATGGACTTTTATGATTTCAGGTTTGAAATTTAAGTTTTTAATCCATCTTGAGTTAATTTTTGTATATGGGGAGAGGTGGAATTAAGTTTCAATTTTTCTGCATGTAGCTGTCCAAATTTCCCAGCACTATTTGTTGAATAGGGTGTCTTTTCCCCAGTGTATATTTCTTTCTGCTTTGTCAAAGATCAGTTGGTTGTAGATATTTGAGTTTATTTCTGGGTTCTCTATTCTGTTCCATTGGTTCATGTTCTTTTACCAGTACCATGTTGTTTTGGTTACTACAGCCTTGTAGTATACTTTGAAGTCAGGTAATATGATGCTTACTTTACCTTGAGTCTGTAGGAGTCTTTGTGTGTTAAGTGGGTCTTTTGAAGGCAGCAGACATTTGGATTGTGTGTGTGTGTGTGTGTGTGTGTGTGTGTGTTTAATAACTTCTGCCAGTCTGTATCTTTTTTAGTGGAGCATTGAGACCATTTACCTTCAGGGTTAATAATAATATGTAAAGTTCTGTTCCATTCATCATACTGGTTGCTTTATTAATTAATTAATTAATCTATCTCTTACACTGGTGTTCCACAGTTCTGTGAGCTTTATGGGTCCCAGCTTTTCTACTGGTGTGTTTTGACCTTTTGCTTCAGTGTTTAGGATTCCTTTGAGTATTTGTTATAGAGTTAGTCTGTTGAAGACAAATTTCCTCAACATTTGCTTGTCTGAGAAAGACTTAATTTCTGTTTCATTTATGAAACTTAGTTTTGTGGGACATAAGATCCTGGACTGTTTTTCTCTTTTAGGAGATTGAAGATGGGCCCCAATCTCTTCTGGCTTGTAGGGTTTCTTCTGAGAAGTCTGATGTTAGTCTGAAAGATATACCTTTGTAAGTTATTTGATGCTTTGGTCTCACTGCTTTTAAAATTCTTTCTTTCACATTAGCTTTATGTAACCTGATAATTATATACCTTGGGCATGATCTCTTTGCAATGAGTCTTCTGAGGGTTCTTTGGGCTTCTTATATCTGAATGATTAAATCTTTGGTAAGGCCAGGGAAATTTTCCTCCATTATTTCCTCAAATAGGTTTCCAAACTTGTTGCTTTACATTCTTCCTCAGGAACACCTATGGTTCTTCGGTTTGGTTGTTTTACACAATCCCACATTTCCTGGAGACTTCGTTCTGTTCTGTTGATTCTTTTTTCATTATTGTCTTACTAGGTTAATTTTAAAGTCTTGCCTTCACGTTCTGAGACCCTTTCTTCTGCTTGTTCTAGTCTAAAACTTTCCATTGCATTTTGTACTTCCCTAAATGATTTTTTCATTTTCAGAATTTTGGCTTTTTTTTTTTTTTTTAAGGTATCTGTCTCTTTGGAGAATTTTTCATTCATATGTCCTGGATAGTTTTTACTTTTGGGGATGTTGAAGAACTCTGTTTTTTCATACTGTCAGAATTATTTTTATGGTTCCTTCTTATTTGAGTAGACTGTTTCTTCTTAGTTGAGGTTGGCAGGGAGTTGATATAGGCGCTATAGGATTCTCTTGGTTGTGTATAGCCTTGATGTGAGTTTCTCAATTGCCAGCTGTGGTGGTTCTGTGCTAGATACCTGCCCAGGCTCAAGGTGTCTTGAGTTGCCTGGTGGCTTGGATAGTAGTGTCAGCTGGGGTCTGGGATCAGGCCTTCCCCAAAGCTGAGGTATTATATTAGATGTTTTGACCTCCAGCCAGGAGGTGGCATTTTTGGGAGAACACCAGCTGCTATGGTGACTGTGAGCTTTCAACTTGACATGTGTTGCTTCAGGGAAGTGCTTAGCCAATTTAAGGAGTAGGCAGGACTGTAGGGATTACCCAAGTTGTCTGTTTTCAGCCTTCAAGGGGTGTGGGGGGGAGGAGAAAAGCTCAAGCTCCCTACTTCTGTGCACTCTTAGCCACCCCAGTAGGGATTGGGAGGGAGTTCCTGATCACTGAAGTAATACTGTTGTGTAAAGGCTGCCCAAGAGTTTTCCTGGCCGGTGAAAGGTTGTTGTGGCAAGTCCCACCCCGCTTCCGCGCCTTAGCCTTGGGCAGTCTGTGTTCTGAATGTCAAAGTGCAACCTGCCTCAGGTGTTCTCATGCAGCCCACCCCAGCCAGGAACAGTCTGCCACTGCAGAGTTTGCTCTTGGGGTTCATCCCTTCCCAGGCTGGCTAGAAAGGAGCTGCCGGCAAGGGTTGAGTTCCTGGGATAAGGCAGCTGGAGCTTCTCTGGGCTTTTTTTCATGCACCATTTTATGTGCGTTTCAGCAGAGCATAGCTGTGGGTAAGGCAGTTACCTGTAAGGGAGTAGAGTCTCGCAAGACTCAGGGGCCCTCCATGTCCATGGCAGGAGCACAGAATTTCCGAATTCCCCTCACGCACCTCCCCTACTGTGTCCGGAGGCTGCTGATGGGCTTTGTGCTGTGATCCAGGAGAGAGTTTGTCTAGTCCAACCTAGGTTGATTGTTTTTTCTCTTATTTGCACTATGTGGTTATTATCATTTCTTTGATGAGTTGTGGGGTGTGCTGCTGGTCCCTTTTCTATCTGGGTGCTGAGGAAATGTCTCTATCTTGGTTTACTCCGTAGGAGAAACATATTCTGGCTGCCTCTTGTTGGCCATCTTAGTTCCCAAGTCCCACAGTTCTCTATTTTAAAGGACACCAAAGTGGTGCACATCAAAGTGAGGAATTTCTGAACTATCAGAAACTCTGGCTGATGCTGGCGCCTTGCAGGCTCCGTGCAGGATGGCCCCCTGCCTGACTGGCACCTTCCGCTCTGTCTCTGACTACTCTGCCTGTCTTCTTCCCCTTCTCCAAGTCACAGGTTGGCTGTGAGCATGAGGAGGTGGGTGCTCCAGAGCGAGGGAGTTACCATCTGTGTGGGTGCTGCAATCATGGGGGAAGGTATGGGCTCAATCTTCTCTGCTGGGGTCTTCCCACAGCACTTTGTGTGAGACCTCATGGGTGAGGAGCCCACCAGCTGCCCTCTGAGAAGCTACCACCCCAGGATTGCCCAGGGCAGTAGTGCCTCAGCCTTCCTTCCCGAGCTAGGTCCCTGCCAGGTGCATGTCTGTCCCTGCTCTCACCTGTCTGAGTGAGGTGGCTCATGATCTTCTGTGGCGGCAGGACCGCCTCTACCCCTCTTTCATCCTTCAGTGTGGGCCTGCACAGAGCGAGTCTGTGTCTGGTGTGGGAGCCCCCACCTGAGTCACAGGTGGATGCTAGTGGCTGTTTGCACCATGAGAGAGGGTAGTTCTGACTGTCCTCTTTGGCTCTGGTGGGGAAAGGGCGAGTCCCACTATGGTCACCTGGCCTGGCCTGGTCAGGGCTGGACAGGATTTGAGTCTAGCTGGCCTATGGTTAGGGGGCTCGTGGCTCTATAAGGACCTGCCTCCCCCATCCTTGGACCAGCTCTGCTGCCACCAGCTGTAGACTCTTCCCTCACCAGGCTGCCCTGCCCACACTACCCAGCAGCCCCTAAAGGTGGACACTCTGTTTCTCTTGGAGTCCCCAGCAGCTTGGTGATGGAGCAGCCTCAGGACACAGGGCTTCTTCTCTGGCCATATGTGTAATCCTAGGGTCCTAGCATCAGGCCAGCTCAGATCTCACTCTCCTCACCTCCTGCCTCCCCAGGACTTCCTGACAGACCTGATGATGTCAGAGGTAGACCGCTGCGGGGACAATGAGCACCTCATCTTCCGGGAGAACACGCTGGCCACCAAGGCCATAGAGGAGTACCTCAAGCTGGTGGGCCAGAAGTACCTGCAGGACGCCCTAGGTAGGGAGAGCACAGGCTGGCAGGGGGGCCGAGGGCAGGGCAGTTTCCTCCAGGTTCTCACTTCCATTCCCTGCCCACCCGGCACAGGTGAGTTCATCAAAGCACTGTATGAGTCGGATGAGAACTGCGAGGTGGACCCCAGCAAGTGTTCGGCCGCTGACCTCCCAGAGCACCAGGGCAACCTCAAGATGTGCTGCGAGCTGGCCTTCTGCAAAATCATCAACTCCTACTGGTCAGTGCTGGCCCTGACTGCTTGGGGCCTCTGCACTTCCTTTTGGGCTCAGCTGCCCAGGGCCAATCTACCCCATCACCTTACCTGGTCTGTCAGGTGCCCACAATGTACACAGCGCTGCCTGACCCCACTGAATCTTCCTGACTCTTCAGTTCCCTGTCCCAGTCCCTTGTGGGGCCTTGGATATAGGGAAGTGTTCAAAACGTGTACAGGACGTGGTTTTGGTGGTGTTACAGTAGAAAGAATCTGGGCATGGCAGTCCATCTCTGTGTGGCGATGAGTGAATGCCATGTACCAGGCACTGTTGTAGGTGCTCGGTCTCTGCACAGAGTGAGACTAGCAAGGCCCCACTCAGGCACCCAGTTGAGGCAGTTGGCTAGTTTAACCCAACACTCCTCACCTGTCCCTAGGAGTGGTGGTGCTCTTGTCACAGCCTTGTGATCGGGCCCAGCAGAGGCATGTGGTGTAACTGAGCACTGGCCAGGCCTCCTGCTGGGACCAGAGAACAAAGAGAAGAAAGGACTTGAAGTAGCACAGGGTCTGCAGGTCACTGCCAACCCCAGAAGGGAGCAGGGGTTCTCAGATAGGACTGGAGTCCATCCCTGGGACACTTCCGGTAAGGCCTACCTCATGGCTGCCTGCTTGCTCCTGGGGCACATGTGACGGCTGACCTGTGCCCAGTGCAGCCCATCCTGTGGGGCATGTGGGACTGTCTGGGAGGGTCTCGCTGTCAGCCCAAGCAGTGAGTTTATCTTCACAGGTAGAGCTGCCCAGGTTTTAGCCTGTGTCCCCTTCCAGCTCAGGCTCATGCCCCCCCACCTACCTGCGCCTCTATTCTGACATATGCCGTCCCCAGCCATACTATACCCCTTTACCCCTTTGTTAGGTCAGCCTCTCTCACTCACCCTCACCTCAACTGCACATGCTCCTACCCTTCCCTCTCTGGGGTGGTATACTGGGTACCTTCTGTAGCAGCCTTGATCCCATCGAAATGAGACTATGTCCGAATCTGTTTTCTGCACACACTGGGGCACCTGGGACCAGGGGATGCACTGGCTCAGGGCTGGGCACATGGGGCAAGGGAAGTGTTTGCTGTTCCCAAAGGACAGGCAAAGGTGGACCTGCTGGGTAGGCAGCAGCCTTGGAAAGAGGGCCGGGGTAATGACCATGGCCAGAGGGTAGCCACCTGCCTGCCAGGTCCCTTAACCCCTGGGCTACCCCAGGTGCTTTCCTGGGCCCGATGGGTACCTCAAGCTGGGCCACAAATGTACAGCATCCCATACCCCTGGGCCTGGGGTAGAGGGCAGCCAAAGGGTCCTGAACTTTGGGAACATACTTCCTACCCCAGCTGGGCTGGCCCTCTACGCTCTGCTTCCTGTTCCAGGAGAGCTGGTGTGGGACTCCAGCCCAACATATCTGTGGACAGTGATTTTCCATTTCCCCTTTTTGGCCTGTGCCAGAGGTACTTCTGTGTTCTGGACAAGGCCAATCATAGATGTTACCACCCAGTGCCTGGCCCTTGCCCAGTTCTGTGCCAGGCATTGTGAGGGCCAGGGCTGAAGGTCGCCCATCCTCTGGGCATACCCTTGTTGGCTTAGCCAGCGTGCATTGCCAGAGAGCCTGCTGGACTTGTGGGAGGACATTGCAAGTTGATCAAGCCCTCATACGGCTTTGGGGTCCTAGCCTTAAGAAGGCTTTGTGAGCTCAGCAGGACAGGCCTTGCTCTTGGTTGAAGCCAAGGAGGGCTAGGGTATTGGTCAGATCACCCTGAGCTTGTGAGAGGACCTGGCCTGGGCTGGGTTCAGGGACCACTTGGGCTGCTCTGCCCTGGGGTGGGGGGAACATCTTTTAGGGCAAAAAGATAGGGTAGCCACTTAAAGGGTGGCCAGTTGGGGCCTGACCATGTGGGCTTGGATGCCCAAAAGAACCAGGAGCCCTATGTTCTAGGGCCAGTTTTGCTCGCTTACTCTGCCACCCTGGGGAAGTCATTCCCTCCCTTGCTCTCGCCATCTCAAGAATCGAAGGCGGTGTTCTTGACCTGGTGGTCAAGGTTTCTCCCATCTTGATCATTCCATACTCTGCAGGAAACCTCGGATTCCTGTGACATTATTCAAGCAGAGGAAGTGAGTCTCAAAAGCCAGTAATGGGAATTCAGGGAATAGTGGTCTGTTCCTGTTGTGTGTTCCTCACTTCCCTCTAGTCCCAGAGTCCTGCTGTTCGGGTTAAAGAATGAATTAGACATTGAGAGAGGTGGGAAGGGCCCAGACCAAAAGCTGCAGAGGCGGTTCAGCCCTGGCCCTGGATTGGACTCCAGTTAGGACAGAGAGTGGTCGCCTCTGTGCCTGTCTCCTGCCTCATGCGCCCCTTCACTAAGAGCCCGCCACCCTAACAGGAGCTCGGACTTGCCTGTTTCTCTTGCCGAGCACTCACTCTGGCCACCCTGCGTTGAGTGCGCTCCCTGGGTGGCTGCTGGGTGGAGCCAGGGTTGGGACACAGGCTGTCTGACCCATAATCTGTCCCTGCTCTGCTTCCTCCTGTCCTGGGCCCCTGCCTGATGACCAAGCCCTCCCTCTCTGTCCCCACGCAGTGTCTTTCCGCGGGAGCTGAAAGAGGTATTTGCCTCGTGGCGGCAGGAGTGCAGCAGCCGTGGCCGGCCAGATATCAGCGAGCGGCTCATCAGCGCCTCCCTCTTCCTGCGCTTCCTCTGCCCGGCCATCATGTCACCCTCACTCTTCAACCTGCTGCAGGAGTACCCTGATGACCGTACTGCCCGCACCCTCACCCTCATTGCCAAGGTCACCCAGAACCTGGCCAACTTCGCCAAGTGAGTGCTCCTGCCCCAACGGGCAGGTCAGGGACAGCTAACAGACCTGGTTTTGTCCCTGTCATTCTCAGTCCTTTCCCACCTTTTTTCAAAATAAAATCTGTACACCTCATCCTCCTACTAGAAGCATGTATCATTTTGTTACGTTTCCTAATTGTCAAAGGTGAGAAGACATTTTTTCTTCTGCTTTTTTTGTTTTTGAGTTGGAGTCTCACTCTGCTGCCTAGACTGGAGTGCAGTGGCACAGCAGCCTCGACCTGCTGGGCTCCGGCAATCCTTCTGCCTCAGCCTTCCAAGTAGCCGGAACTACAGGTGTGCACTACCATGCCCGGCTAATTTTTGATTTATTGTAGAGACAAGGTCTCGCCAAATTCCCCAGGTGGGTCTCGAACCTGCAGGCTCTGGCAATCCACTTGCCTCAGCCTCCCAAAGGGCTGGGATTACAGGCTAAGCCACTGAGCCCGGCCAACTACCAAGCCCAGCCTGCTTTTTTTGAATTAATACATCATCATCAGGATTCTTCCATATCCCTCACATTCGTCAGCCCCTTTTTGAAATGAATGACTAATGTGCCTCCAAGGGGAACTGGCCCATGTTTCCTTCATGCATTCCCCGTGTTTGCGCACTAAGGTTGTTGCAGACTGCCCTAATTTAGTGCTGTCAAGATATCTTTGCTCATAAAGCACTTCTGGTGTTTTGCACTACATCCTCAGCAAATGGGTAAAAGAGCTGGGTCATCTCACTGTCATTCATTCTTAAAGTGTGGGTTGAGCCCTGTGGTGGGGCCACCTCTGTGCTGGGTTCTGACAGTGCAGAGATGAATCAGCCCTGAACCCAGGCCTCACAGAGCCCAGCACTTCAGCCAGGGAGGTATGTCAAGTGAGCAGCAGAGCAGTGACAGACACACCAGCCTTTCAGGAGGGCCCTAGCCTTGTTGGGAGGGAAGACAGGGAAGCACATGAGACAGTGCGACCCCCAGCTGCATGTCAGGATGAAACATCCATCATCTTGAGGAAGAAGAGGAGAGACAAGGCATGCCAGGGAGGGCGATGTGTTGTGCCAGGCCAGATGAAGTGGGCCACAAGGCCCAAGAGGACAGTAGGTGCCTGAAGGCTAGGCAGGGCACTGGGAGCCAGAGGGTTTTAAACAGGGGAGAGACAACCTACATATGTTCTGGATCCTGCAAAGACCACTCTGACAGTAGTGGGCAGGCAGGTTGGAGGGAACAGGGTGGCAACCAGAAGACCTGGGAGGAAAGCATGGCTGTGGTTCCTGCAAAGATGGCAGAACGATGGGGATGTGGTGCAGGAGGCAGTGGCTTCTAGGGACAGGGTCGAGGGTGATGAGAAGATAAAGTCAGCAGGCCTGCCATCCAAGGATGAGGAAGAGAGAGGAGTTGACAGCCGTCAGCTTCTGGTTCAGGTATCTGGGTGGATAGGGAGCATGAAGGAGGGCATGGTTTGGGTGACAGTGGTGACTTCAGACTTGGCTGGGCTGAGCTGGATGAACCCTAGGGAAGGTGCCTGTGGATGAATGTGTCCAAAGCTCAGTGGAGAGGCCTGGGCCCAGTGTAGATTTGTATCAGGGCATTGCAACTTGGAGGAAACACGGAAGGATACTGTCACAGGCAGTGTATGGGGAATACAGAACGCTGCAGGTCCTGAGATAAAAGCTGAACCAGGAAAGGGTCACTGGACTTGGCCTAGGAAGTGAGTGGGGTGGGGGCCAGCCACAGGGGTTGGGCAGGTGGGAACTGAGGAGGAAGGTGTCTCAGTGGAAGGCAGCTCCTGGGCAGACCTGCCTAGGCTCAGCACTCACCCCGATACCTCTTCCTTCAGGTTTGGCAGCAAGGAGGAGTACATGTCCTTCATGAACCAGTTCCTGGAGCATGAGTGGACCAACATGCAGCGTTTCCTACTGGAGATCTCCAACCCTGAGACCCTCTCCAACACAGCCGGCTTCGAGGGCTATATTGACCTGGGCCGTGAGCTCTCCAGCCTGCACTCGCTACTCTGGGAGGCTGTGAGCCAGCTGGAGCAGGTGCCCAACACCATGGGGCAGAGGGTGGGCTCGGGCTGCCATCAAGCTCCGGGGCTCCCCTTTCCAGAGGATCCGTGGAGGGCACGGGTTGGCCAGTGCTGTGTGATCAGGAGCCTGCCTGGGTGCCTGAGCCCCTGTCAGAACACACTGAGGATCTGAGGGCTCTGTTTTCTTTGTGCACCGGCACCTGTTGGGCAGCCCCTCTCCAGGCCCTGGGGCTCAGGCTGTGCCCTGGGCACTGGTCCTCATGGATGAGTTCCACATGTAAAGGCATGCTCCCCAGTGGGTTGTGTGTGAGAATTTGGTCAGATTTTGGAGCCACTCATGAAGACGACTCAAGACCCTGTACCTCCACTAGGCAGGAAGTTGGAAATCTGAGGATTGCCCTTGACCATCAGCTGACAAGGTTCCCTAGATACCTCTGACGGTGATGCAGTCACCTGGCATGAGGTTTCCCCAGCCTGGAGTCTCACTGGCCCCCCAGTGGCCTTAGACCACACAGTGAGCAGGTTCTTAGAATTAAGGGCTGGGCCTGCCAGGAACCAGTTCCCAAATATCTGTTGTTTTCAGGCTCCAAGGGACCATCCTACAAAAGTAATAAATGCTGGAACCAACCTGGAAGGCCCTTCATGCCTCCTGGTCTTGTTCCCCAGAGGTGACCTCCCAGAGCACTGCTGCACAGCCATCAATACATTCTCTGCACATATGAGCACACACACAGTCACAGATATATGGAGCCCTTTCCCTTCCAAGTGTGTTTTAAAGTGGTAACTCATCGTGTGTTCTTTAGTGGGCGTCTTTGCCTTTTTAATAGCCACAGAGTATCCTCTCATGGGGGCACAGGTTACTTCACCAGTCCCTTATTGATAGACAGGAGTTTAGTCCTGACTTATAACTGGAAACAGATGCTCTTGCAATCAAATGCCCCATTTTGCTAATCTATCCATTTAACTTGCTCTGTGAAAGACATGAGGGGGGGAATGGAAGTGAGGGCTGTGCCCCACCCTTCTGCCAGCCCAAGCTCCTCACTGTCACCACTTGCCGCCCTGTGCTGGTCACTGTCTGCTCGTACAACCACACAGGAAGTGTGGAAGGTGACCAGTGTCATCACACAGGTGACAGGTGCGGCAAGGACTTGAAAGGAAGCTATGTGCCTCTCATTCCTGTTCTCTGCTGACTGCAGGGGTTCTCACACTTGACTTTTGCACAGAGCCTCTGGAAGCTCATGCGGAGACAGGTCAAGGCCATTCCCTCCCCTCCAGCTCCACCCCGCAGCCTGGGATCCTTAGCACTGTGTCTGAACCTGACTGTGAGGCTCACATGGCCCAGGCACTGGCCTTTGTCTGCCCAGCACCCGGTGGTGCCTGCTCTGTGCTTGCACCATCTCCACCAGGGCTCAGGTGCCAAAGTGGGGCAGTCCCAGCTTATCCTGTGGAGTGGGTGACATGGGCGGGGCTGTCACAGAAGCCTCTTGGATGGAGAGGCGTAGGTGTGGAAATTCTGGGATTCCATGTGTGCTTTTCCCTCTGCAGAGGCCCTGGGGCAGGATGAGCCAGGAGGAGAGACTTGGGCTAGGTCAGCATCACTCCCTGTGGGCCTGCTGCTCCTGCCCCAGAATTATCTGGAGAGCTGGTAAAGCATGCAGATTGAGAGATTCCTGGGCTCACCCCCTCCCAGGCATGTGTCTGACTGATGGCAGGGTGGGGATCAGCACTTATGACTGACTTCCTGGTGGTTTTGAACCACAGTGGCAGCAGCACACTTAGCCTCCAAATGGCCCCAGAAGGTCACACCTGCCTCTTGCTGTATCTTTGCAGAGCATTGTGTCCAAACTGGGACCCCTGCCTCGAATCCTGAGGGATGTCCACACAGCACTGAGCACCCCTGGCAGTGGGCAACTCACAGGGACCAATGACCTGGCCTCCACTCCGGGCTCTGGCAGCAGCAGCATCTCAGCTGGGTTGCAGAAGATGGTGATTGAAAATGATCTCTCTGGGTAAGTGCTGTCAGGCATGCTGCATATAGTGGGTACATGTGCAGACTAGGCACAGCCCATCTGTGGGCACAGATGGGGAAGAGGATGCCTACACAGGTGTTTCTAAAACAAGCCTCATAAGACTTGAAATGTGTTGTGCAGGCCCAAAGTGATGAGCCTTGATTTGAGAAAAATCAGGGAAGGCTTCCTGGAGAAGGTGCTGCTGCAGTTTTTGTGTGTGTTAGGAAAAGTAGCATTTTCATTGGTAGAATAGGCATTTTAGGTAGAGGGATAAGCACAAGCAGAGGCCTAGATAAAGACAGCTTGATGTGTTGAGAAAGTTACTGGTCCCAGATACTCAAGGCATTTCTAGATCACCTGGTATTTGTTAAAAATACCAATGTTCCTGGTATTTCCTGGGTCTGAATCTGAATCTCCAGAACTGGGGCTTAGGGGTGTACGTTTTCAGCAGGAGTTTGGGTGACTCTGCCAAGCCTTGAGGCTGTTCCCAGAGAACACAGAGCAATGCTGAGACCCAGCCCCAGGGCACCGTCTGCTCAACCTAAATAAGACACACACATGGTCGAGTAGGAGACAGAAGGCTCTTGCATGTTTAAGTCAAAACGGGGACACTTCTTTAAGAAACTGGGAGTTTGTGTTGAACCGCTTCTCTCCCAACCCTACCCCCATCCCGGCAGGGACCTCCTTAGACCATCTTGTGAGGAGGAGGCTGGAGCAGCAGAGGTGGGGTTGTGGACTCACTCCAAGGTGGCAGCAGCAGGCATTTAAGCAGGGGTGGGCGTTGAGATTGAGAACCTGGGGGGCGTGGTGCCCGGGGGGAGGCCTGAGAGATAGAGTTCCCAGGTCCTTCTGAGACCGCGTTGGAGGCTCTTTACTTAAGCTGCCAAGTGAAGCAAAGCAAAGTCACGAGGCGAGAGTTCAGGTGGGGACGCACCGAGAGACAGCCAGGCACGAGTGTTCTGAGGAGACCCAACCTGGGGCGTGGTGTGTGCAGCCAGACCCCCATCGCTCTGTCTGCTGCCTTGTCCTGTTCTTTCCAACCCACAAGCACTGTGGCCCCAGTGGCTGCGCTGCCCTGTCTTGGGCTCTGTGTCTCCTCTCCATCCAAAGCTAAGCGACCTCACTGTCCATTCTGGGCCCATGCCAAGCTCCCCACGTCCTTGCTGCCTCCAGTCCACCAAGAGCCTTGTTCACTCCCCACGTTCTTCCCTCCAAAGCCCCCTGGCCCCTAGCATCGTTGTGCCTTCTCCCAGAGAGCTAGCAACCAGGGAGAGGCTGGATGATAAGCAGAGTATGCAGAGGCGGCCAGGGAGGGTGGCAGGCTGAGGCGGGCGCAGCCTGCTGCTGCAAGTTCAGACCTTCCCCTGAGTCACGCCCTCACGATCCTCCTGGTCCCTTGTTTTTTCCCAGGAACTCCAGCCCCCGCCTGCCAGTCAAACAAGGGAGTGGCAGCAGGAGGCTGGGCAGGAAGAGGCTTTCTCCAGACCCCCCTGCGGCTGTCAGTCTGATTAGGAACTAGAGAGAAGAGGCAGAGGAAGCCCCGTGACTTTGAAGGTGGAGTTCTCAGTGCAGGACCCCAGGATAGCAGAGAACCACCGATCGTGGGCTGGGGTTTAGCTAGGGGGAGTTTTCAGAGCACACCAGGCCCCAGCACCCACCGTCCCGAGATGCAGCTGAGCAGGGAGAGGGTCTGCCGGGTAGCCCGGCCTGGAACTGGCAGTGCTGGCCCCTAGAGCAGAGGTTCTGTGCAGGAGCAGCCGCCTCGGCCACTGGTCCCCAGCCTCTCCCCCTTCTGCCACCCCAGCGCCTCCCTCTCCCCAGCCCTAGCCCTGCCATCAGGCCCCAGCAGGTTGGCGGGTGCTGTCGGTTTGGACCCGCTGCGGCTGCACTCACAGTTCTTCTCTTCCCCTTCTTTCCCTGTGTGTGCTTGTCTCCCTGCAGTCTGATAGATTTCACCCGGTTACCGTCTCCAACCCCCGAAAACAAGGACTTGTTTTTTGTCACAAGGTCCTCCGGGGTCCAGCCCTCACCTGCCCGCAGCTCGAGCTACTCAGAAGCCAACGAGCCTGATCTTCAGATGGCCAACGGTGGCAAGAGCCTGTCCATGGTGGACCTCCAGGACACCCGCACGCTGGATGGGGAGGCAGGCTCCCCAGCGGGCCCCGACGTCCTCCCTGCTGATGGGCAGGTGCCTGCAACTCAGCTGGTGGCTGGGTGGCCAGCCCGGGCGGCGCCAGTGAGCCTGGTGGGGCTGGCCACGGTGCGGCGGGCAGGCCAGACACCAACCACGCCGGGCACCTCCGAGGGCGCACCAGGCCGGCCCCAGCTGTTGGCACCACTCTCCTTCCAGAACCCTGTGTACCAGATGGCGGCTGGTCTGCCACTGTCGCCCCGTGGCCTTGGTGACTCGGGCTCCGAGGGTCACAGCTCCCTGAGCTCCCACAGCAACAGTGAGGAGTTGGCGGCTGCTGCCAAGCTGGGAAGTTTCAACACTGCCGCCGAAGAGCTGGCGCGGCGACCTGGTGAGCTGGCGCGGCGGCAGATGTCACTGACTGAGAAGGGTGGGCAGCCCACCATGCCCCGGCAGAACAGCGCCGGCCCCCA